GTTCATCGTTGTGTCGACATTTCACTTCAATCATCGGCCGAGACCTATGAAGTCTAATCCAAATTATAAAACCGATTTAACATCGTCGCCCGAATTTATCGTGTATCAAAACCCAACAATTTCGATGATGATAATGTAAAGGGTTCCGCTTTCGATGCATTTGCTATAAGTGTTGTTAAATACTGGTCGTGATCTATCCTTTATTAGTCATCCAAAAAAAATTAATTTTTGAGTTATTGGTATTTGATCATTCTAATTGCAAAATTATGAACATTCTTGCTTTGTGTTGTTTTGAAAAGTTTACACTACCTTTGCACCTACTTTCAAGGAGAAGACGTCATCGACACGAGCGGCCTTGACACCGAGTTTGATGAAAATGCATGAAAAAAGAATGGGAGAGCGAAAAGAGGTTTCAACTGAATTATGCAAACGTTCCCATTTTGACAAACTTAATAATTTTATTTATTCTAAAAGTAAATGTTAGAGTACGGTTACCCAAATTCTATTTGACCCGATCTAAAAAGCTCGAGGTGGGACATATAGGATCAAACCACAATTATGAATTTTTTTTAGATCTATGGTGGTAGAAGAGGGATCGGCCCGAAAATGAGTTCCTAATTAAGTAATTTATTGTGTTAAAATATCCTAATTGGAAAAGATGTAGTTTAATTATAAAAATTCATATTCAAAGTAGAGGTAAGCTTTATATTCGAATTCAATTGGCCTAATATATGAATTTTTTTTCAATATAAATCATTTTAACTGTCAAATAAGCCTAATTAATCCTCTTGTGTTCTCTCTCATTTTTTAGAACTGTTACTTTCTTAAATATTAGAGTGATTTTGTTACTTATCGTGTGGACTTTCACTCATCAGTTTTATTTAGTTTTGAGGTCTAGCAACAAACAAAGACTAATTAACATATGTTCGTATATTCTAGACCAAACAAAAACAATGTCGAAAAACTTACTGTACAATTTGATCAAACATAAAATCACAAAACTAAATAAATTAACGAAAAACGCCATTGAATAAATTATTTTAAAAATTGAGTTTAAATATTTTCAATTTTAGAAAAAAATCAAACCATAATGAAAATTATTTATATCAAGAACATTGCTATGACAAGTGAGTTTGGAATGAATTTTGATTAATTCCACCATTAATTTTATGGTTCAATAACACGTAGAGTGGTTCTAAGTAGTACTACTCTGAATTCAAAGGTCAAAAAGTGCAACATTAATATCAGATACTCAGACAATAGCCATTATTACACAGTACCTAACATTCACATCTTATCTTATCCCTACTATAATAAAAGAGC